ATCAATCAATGGATAGATGTGTATTTAAACTAGTCAAAGGAAAATGTTAAATTAAAACCCCAGGTTTTAATTTACATATTAATACACGGCTTGTTTCACAAAGGATTTGAGAAGACTTAAGTTTTCTTATATCTTGTACTATTTTTTAAATCATTTGAGCAGACATTTCTACCTGAAGAAATCCTGAAACCTCACACTCAATCTCCAATCCCAGTGTGATTTTTTTTCCCAATAACAAGTATAATAAATGCCCACGAGACCATCTAGCACCCAAGGACACAAACTGAACATTCCCAGACTCCCCTTCACTCATTACCTGCTGTGATGTACAGCATCAGTCACCAAATAAGAACTGCATTTTCCAGCAACCCAACATCTCTACCAGCAACACTAGAAGTTTATAATGCACACAACTTCAAGAGTGACCTAAGACATTCCACTTCTCACTAAAACGAGATGACAGATTGGGTGGATTGTTTGCTCACTGTAACCTGTAATTTTTAGAGCCTGAAATGATCGATTTCTTAAGCATATTGCTCTTTGTAAACAAATTATCTATGGACACTGCAAAATACAGAAGACTCAAAGGCAAAAATAGTTTGCTAACTGCTTTTAATTTTGTACCTGGTATAAAACCACTCTTCTTTCAAACTAGTAACTTGGAAGGCTGGCCTGCCACAAAACAGTCTGGTGTGTGTGTGTGTGTGTGTGTGTGTGTGTGTGTGTGTGCGCAAGCGCGCGCACGCGCATGTGTGTGTGTGTATTGCAACCACTCCACTTAGCACCATGACTAAAATCACTGGGCTGAGTTTCTGTCTGCTGACAATGCTGCTAACCCCTCAAGAATGTGAGGGCCTCTCCGGCAGGAAGGCATCTGTAAGGCATCTGTGAGTTCCCCGCCACACAACACCTGCCTGCAGTGGCGTCTGACCTCCAACAGCGGCTTCCCCTTTGCAGCTGGGAATCCAAAGTTGGGAAAAGATTCCCTTTGTACTGTACATATTCATTAATTCAGGTTTTATGAGACAGGAAAATCAAACTGAAATGAAATAAAAAAGTGAAAAACTGACTTGTGGTGTGTGTGTGTCTGTATTGGGGCTTGAACTCAGGGCCATTCGTTCTCACTTCGCTTTTTTGCTCAAGGCTGGCACTTCTGCCACATGAGTCATACACCTCCAGTTATGGCTTATTGTTGGTTAATTCAAGATAAGAGTATCTCAGACTTGTCTTCCCTGGGCTGGTTTCGAACCATAATCCTCAGATTGTAGATTCTGATATAGCTAGGATTACAGTCACAAACCACCAAGTGCTCAGCTGAAGAATCACTTCCTTTTGTGAAGTTCTAGTTTATGTTACTGTGATTTGATAAGTAAGGTTCCTTAATTCAGAAACAATTATTGTAAATTATATGGAATCAAATGACTATAAAATATTCCTATAAACATATAAAACATATTGTAAAAGTCATAAAGGAATTCAAAAGCACAGCAAGGAGACCATGAATGGGTTTTTCAATTTTATAAAGATATACCAGCTGATACAGGTTGAAATTCTAACTCTTTGCTAGCTAAAGCATATTAAAAGAGCCATTAGTTACTTCTTCCTTTGAGTTCAGTTAAAACTTCTTTTAAAGCAACTGGAAAAACTAAGCAGCTACCAAGTTCCTTCCCACTGAATTTATTTCCATGCAATAGTGTTATGTGTGATTTTCTTTGAGCAACCATGAAAATTGGTCACCCTTGTTCAGGCTTGGTTTTTCCATACAGAAGCTACACGCACGCACATACACACACACATGCGTGGCGTGCACACACACACACAAAGAAATGCTCAAATCTCGTTGAAAGATTTACATATTTGGGCCCAAATTGAATCCTTAACAAATATTGTTCTCTCCTGTATAACCACATGACACTGTAACTAGATTTTGTACCCAATCCAGATTAATCACAATCATGTGTTCCACTGGTCGCCTAAGGACACTCGTATTTTTAAAATTATGTTTGATGATTTGTCTTGATTCAGAAACAGTAAGTGCATAGGAATTAAATAAGGGTTTGGAGGATGCATGTAGAGTCTAGGGCATGAGCCAAAGGTAGGCAGTGCTTACACTGGGCCTTTCTCTCTAGAGAGCTGGTGTGTGATCAGCACCATTCATGTGACAATGGAAGCTGTGACCAAGAGTCCCAGCCAGACAGGAGTCAAGAGAATCATTCTTCCCATGATTTGGGGTTCAAAGTTTCAGCCAGGAGGTAGTGAGAATGATCAAAAGCAAACCCTCCAAACCACTGTAATGACTATGTATGTTATGTTGCAGTGCAATATGTATTTTCACATAATCTGGTCCCTAAAATAAACTATATTCCTTCCAAAAGGTGTAACTCCAGAAGTGACATTTGAATTTCCTTCTGAATGCACCATTATGAAACTCTGAGAATTTTTTCCCCTAAATAAGTGAATAGTAAGATGGGCGATCAGGACCTCTGTCGGAGGAGCTCGCCCACAGTGCAACAGTCCTCAGTTCTTTCCTGCAAATTCTGGGGTATTCATTTTGAGAATAGCAAAAACAAGGAGGAAATAAA